ACAGTAAAGACATTAAATGATTAAATCTTTTCACTACCAACCAATGCACCACGAGTGCCCCTGTCGGTCATTTTGGCCAGCCAATCACTTACCGCGGTGCCCTGCGGTGGCTTGTGGGTAGGTTACTGTACCGCGGGTTTTTACCGCTCATTTTGAATGGCTGCATCTGTAGAACAAACAGCTTAATAATGTTTCTAAAGTAATCATGTGTGAATGAGTCAAATTAAAAATAAAACATGTTTACAAAGAAAGTGGATTACAGTAATACTACCAGCTATATAAATGCATATATGTAGATCCTTAAATTAATATTGTTATTAATTTCTTTAGATAAGCAATTCAATATTATATTCCCTATTTAGGGGACTCTAAAAAGTATGAGGTTTTTTACATGCAAGTATTCATAGAATAGGTTAATCACTTAACTCACTTAACTTTGAACGTGTTGTGATATTTAGAAATACCAAATTCAATATAGTGTTAATAATATTTACTATTTTAGTTTTTCAAATAAATGTTTATTCGTTAAAAGAAAACTCATAGCGACAGCTGGGTTTAAACCCCTGACCTCCAGCACACAAGGCGGACTCCTAAGCCATGTCACCAACATGCCACTTAACAACTTAAGCTGTAGCTGAGAAGGGCAAGCAAAATGTCTTCCATGTCTTCCAAACTTGAACAGAAGTTTTGGGGGAGGTCAAATTCTAATGCTGTGCTTCCTCTTCCCCATGTATAAAATCTCCATAGCTGAACACATTTCCCTGGCTGAGCACCATGCCACCATATTCTTCCCTCCACCCTAATATCACCATTACACCAATCCCTGACTCATACTTCATAAGCGGACAAGTTAAAGTCAAAGTACTAAGCAGACCATCTCCTTATTTAGCTGTTCTTTTCAACATTATTAGAAGTTAACCAAACTTCTGAATTATTGTTATTGTTACAGAAATTAAAAAATGCTGAACAATATGGAAATTACAGTATACTGTCAATGCAAACTTAGTAATACAAACAGTCTAGAACAGTGTTTTTCAAACATTTCTATACCAAGGAACAGGCCCTTTGTTCTTCCTTCTTTGAGGACTGCATAGGCTAAAAAATGGTCCAAAGCAAGAATATATTTTAAGTATCAGAAGTGTTATTTAAGGTTATGGCAGGGACCAATCAGCATTATCCAGGGACAGGTGTGGGTCCACAGATTGGGACTGAGAAGTGTGAGTTTTCTCTTTTTCTTCTTTTCCTCCTCTTGATCTGATCTTTTATGGTGTGTTTCTGGACACCACTCTGGGTAAATGAGACTTAATCATTTACCCAGAACTTAATTAACTAAGGCAAACCAATATGAACCAATATGATCACAGACTCTGGACCCCTACATCTCACCAAATATCCCATCTGTTTTGAAGTTGGAAATGTTTACACTGCCACATGTGTGTTACACACTTTATCTAGATTCATAGACACCTCCAAAGCCACCTGCCTCAGCCTGTAACAATATGTACTTACAAAACAGAAAATAATCTGATCAATTAAGTAAGTGGGAACTTAAATTGGCCCAAATTGCAGACAATCAAAAAGGGTTTGGAGCATGGGACTTGACAAATTTGGCCTCTGACCCTATAATTTTCTCTAGTTGTTTCTCAACAGCTCACCAGCACTGTCTCACCTGGCAGCTCCCTGTCCCTGTAAGGATCTTCCACTTCTGAACTGCGAGACCTGGCTGCACTTTCACATTCGGGTGTTTGATACCTGACAGAGATAAGACAGACAGATGTCAGCACAGCCCACAGATGGCCAGGGCTCACTACTGCATTTGCTCCTTCACCTGGGAAGAGAAGAACTATTAACAGTGGATGCCTGTGCATTTCACATCCAGTAGTAATGTCTCATTTACAATAAGTAAAACTGTACTCAAAACACAGTTATTCTTAAAATGGATCCACACTTCAGTCATCTGTCTGAAAAAACATACTTCAAAAGCTCACTGATGTGGATACCATCACTTTCAGTCACCTGTATGAATATTTTGTATGATTTTGAAGAAAAAGAGTAAATGAATGATCATGTGTAAGAAGGTTTTAAAGTTATATAGACAAGATTTGTTAAAATAAATCACAAGGATTTGTACTGAGAAGTCTTTACTCCTTTATTTCTGGGAGAGTATGAAATAAATCTGCACAGAAAAAACTGATGTTAAAGTTTATAAATATAGAAAAGCAGGAACAAATATATTACTTAATATTAGAAAACAATATTATAAACTCAATTAAAAGTCGACGATGGTTATTTATGTTAATGAGACCAACTTCTTCCATCAAACATATTTACATCTCATATATTTATTTAAAAGAGGATTAAATCTTCAGAAATCAAATGGAAAACAGCATTATTTTTTATTAAAATATCCTTACTGTATTATCTACAACATATCTATAGTTTCAATGATAATTTGGTGGAATTTAGTATTTTCCTAAAAGAAACAGGTGTAGCTCTCATCAAACAGGGTGTTTTAGATGAAAACATTAACCATGACAAATAAAAAGGACATATTGGTTGAAATTGTGGGAAGAAATAACCACAATCACAGAAAACTCTCATGTACCTAATTTACGGTGACAAATGAGCTGTTTTTTACCTGCCCATGTTCATCTTTTGACTAAGGAAAAACTTATGTCCTAGAATAAATTTCATTTTTACAAAATGTGCAAAGCAGTATCTTACGGTATCTGACACTATGGAAACAATCAAGTATTAAGAACACCTGAGATTTGGTGGAATTGTCTTGACAGATATATTTTACTCAATAGATATCAGGTTGAAGTAATATTGTATCTCTTATAGTCTGAACATTTCATCTGCATGACAACATGCAGAGTCTTCAGCAGTGGTATTAGCAAACCACCGAAGACAGTAGTTCTACAGTTGACTGAATTGTTTGTAATGTGACACAGAAACTCTAAACTGTTCCAAATAAGCCCTCATAGACAGCTCTGTTGTAATACCAGTCTTACAAAACAACAGAAGCTGCCAGCAGTTTCATACCAGGAATGTGCAATAGGAATGTCTGAAAATACAGACTTGCCAATATTGTTTTTCACTGCTATGAATCACCTTCAAGAATTGTGATGATACCATCTTACCCTTAATGCTATGAATGTATTATTTATATTTTACTTGTTAAACAATAACATTTTGTTTACTTTAAATCTGCAAACAGACAAGAGTAAATTAAATTAATATTTTTTTTCTGTGGAATTTGTGAAGAGCGAGTGGATTTCATTTTAAAGGAGGCAAAAACAGCTTCTAGGCTTTCAACAGACTTTCAGTATCTCAAACTTTTTTTTGTAAAATTATGAGTCCATAATCTGAAAATATGTCCAATATGATAACATATGTGACAATAATTTTCCTTATGTTCTTTATGTTCTTTTTATTACACATAAGAATCGTAAGGGAGAAAGTTTAATATTTGAAGTCTACAAAATAAATTAAATTATTTACAGTATTCTGAAATCATGTGAGCCATTCTACTGTGTGACTTGAGAGTTGTAAGTAAAGAATATTTATACAATTAACATATTTTAGTCTTTTGATTTTCTTTGATTTTTCCTGACATTTTTCTTCACTCACACTTAAAGGTATTTACCCTAGGCATTCAAGTTTTGATTAAAATATTAACTTTAATAATGTGTTGCATGTTTGACATAGATTGTAAATGTAAATTATTAACTTATAAAACTTACAATTCATCTACAATAACGTACAATTGGGGTACAGAAATACGTATGTCTTGAAACTGGATTGAATTTCATGGTTGTTGCAAGAATGCTGTCACTGAATGTGACAGCTAATTTTAAATTGAAAGTAACTTTGTAAGTTCATGTTGTTCTCTACATTTTAAATCCTCAAAACGTAGTAAATGTATAAAACAATTATCATCATTATTTATTTGTGTTGATACAAACAGTAATGAAAATAATTAATGCAAATATAATGGTTTATATTACAGGACTATTGTTTATGAAAGTGAATTAGTAGAGAAAAACATGGTCACAGTTGAAGTATTAAAGATGTATAAAATGAAATTAACTTTGCTGTCTTGTATTTACATTTAAAAACAGTGCTGTTTATGTTGAAAAACAAAGCAAACTTTATTTTAAAAGTAAATGTTTTATTTTATTTATTATTTTAATATATTTACGATTTAATATTTATTTGTATAGCCTGGCTTGCATTTTACTGTCGAATATACTGGCTTGGCAGTTGTTAAGTTCAGTGTAGTCCAATAGACCTTATTGTGCCTTATTGTGCAATACAACAGAATAAGACGCCACCAAAGGTGAAGAATACTGAAGAATTTTCTTGTGTTTCTTAGCTATGTAAAAATTGAATAAAGTTAACACTTTTTAATTAATAATGTTTTATTACTCCTTTATTACTAATTTGTTCACTAAAACTAAAATAAATAATTCAAAGGGGTGTTATTCTGAAAAAAGTCACATATTTTTAAAGCACTTTGGAGAAGTTATTTTCAGAGACAATGTTACTATTAAAACATTTTGTGATGTTAATATTCTCACCATGTTTTGAATTTCACACCACCAACCAGACCAATTTAATGCTGTCTATAAGAATACCAAAGGAGAATTCTGCAAGACCTCAGAAGTAATATGGACACTTTCCCCAACACGTAGAGCTTAGTTAATACAGATGATTTAGGGTCATTAAGATAATTCAATAATGCTACAATCTAGACAAAACAATTTCTAGTTTGCAGACATACACTTACAGATGCAGCCATTCAAAACAAGTGGGCGATACCGCATTAAAACGCGATGCGCTTGTCACAGTATAACTCAAGTTACCGTATAATACCGTATAATACCGTATTTTCTCGAATAATATCGCATGATACCGCAAGTAAAATAATAGTATCCGGAATTTGCGGAATTGGAGCTAATAAAGCTCAACCTCTCATGTACAGCGTTTGAGCTGTCACCATCAAAGTCCTTACCAAAGATATTACTAATGGTATTAATAATGAATGACCTTGGACAAGCTGTAAACTCATAGTATTACCCTGGTCCACATTCTTTGTAACTGTCTTTGTAAACAAAAATATTTTATTTTGTCATTGACCGTTTTTGTAAACGAAAATACTTTATTTTTTCATTAACAAAAAGTAACACCACAGCATTTCGTTGATCCAATCTCGCATTTGTTTCCAATCATGCAAAGTACAGTAATTTTTGAGAATCTCCAATTCGCCACACCTTTCACATGCTCATAAAAGAGATTGATTTAGGAACATAAACATATTACTGTATGCAAACTGTATTGTATATGTATATGTATATTTAATGTCATTACTGTGCATGTTTAAGTATTGAATATTCATATGGAATTTTACCACTGAAGGGAAATTTTAGAAGCATAAAAAGAATAGGAGCATAACGCATGTGAAGGTCATAAACTATACTAATTTTGGAACATTAACATACAGTATTATGTAAACTGTTTATGGCTGGTCTCAGTACTTTAAAGAAAAAATACACACCACTATTCCATGTCTCCCTAAACATTTTAAGCATCAAAGTCTTACATGTGAAATAACGTGTATACAGTACTCTGAGTGAAAAGTGGTAGTTTAAAGCTTTTCTGCAAAGACGCTCGATACCGGAGTAAACAAGCATACATTCAGAATTGGATTAATAGGGAATATAATATGGAATCGCGTATCTAAAGAAATTAATAATGATATAATTATATTAATGTACTGCAACACAAACAGTAGTACTGTATATACTGTACATAAACAATGTGTAGGGCTGTTACACCACTCATCATGTGACTGTGCGAGAGGTCGGCTGTTTAAATCCAGTTAGCACCACGAATTTTCTTTTAACAAACATTTCTTTGAAAAAATAAAATAGCAATATTATGGAAAATTAATTGAACTTTTTATATTTCGAAATATCACAACATGTTCGAATCCAAGTCATTTTTTAATAACAACAAATACTTATCACCATCTTTCCCTCTGAATCGCTACAGAAGCAGGAACCCATATCGTGTGGGGATCCCTTTAGATCTCCTTTCAGAATTAAAAGGTTAATAATATCTTCGGTGTCGCATCTTCCCAGTTTAGCTGATCTTTTGCTGCCTATGCATGCTTACACAGCTCCCTGGCTAAACTATCATACTCGACTGGGAAAGCTTTAGAGAACATAACATTTTTATTATCAACAAATTGTAAATATGATGTTTTACATTGGCGTAATTAATTTTTCACTTGAGTGTATGGAGGGGTGTCAGCTGTCAATGAGAGCAGACCCCCCCCCTTCGGCTGGGCAAACAATTTTTTAAATTTTTTAAAAAAGAAATTAAAAAATAGATATAATGATATAAACATTTACTGCAATACAATACTGCTACGTTTCGGCTGTGAATCCTTCTTCACATGTGAGGGTAAAACACTTGGAGATTGTAATGTAGGGCGCTCTGGGCAGGTTAAACTTTAATGCAGGAAAAATGTATTTCCCAGAAGCTACAGTATACTAATTCTTATGGAATGTGTTTTCTTTCTTCTTTTTTTCAGCATGGAATAAACTTATTACTTGATTCTTATGGAAGCCCGTTTCCGCCAGGGAGTAAAAAAAACACACACACACACTTTTTCATTGACAAAAAGTAACACCACACTCTCTTGTTTAAAGCACCACGTCTCTTCCTGTTAAAAGGAGGAGACA